TTTGAGTGCAATTAAACTGCACCTAAAAATATTTGTTCATGTCAAATAGGAGAAAATCCAGGATACATTGGCAAATGTGCGAAAGCACATCATTTTCCATAATCGAGTAGGGGAGAAAGAATCCAAACTTGGAACAATCCTTTTAGAGGAGTGGTCACCTATTAACCTATTCTGTATCAGGCACACCTCAACAATTGATAGAGGTTTCCAGAGTGAATAGCTAAGACCTAAGATATTTCGATAAAAGAATTGGATCAAGAACACATAAATGCTTCTGTAAAGCTGAATGCTTCCAAAAAATCCAAGTTTGTCACTAGATATGGATTTCTAGCAGACGCTTCTTTTCCCAGGGGACAAGGCCACATGATTTCAATATTGACTACTGACCAAAATTCAGCCAAAAAATTTCCCAAACAAAGGATAATTTTATTTTTGTGAATGAAGCATGAACAGCATGCACTAGAACTATTGGGAAGTTACCAAGAGGTTTAGCATTTGAGAGATAAGGGAAACCCAAGTTAGAAACAGTTAACTTGCTCAAAGCCACAAAAGGTGCAGAGACACAGCTCCTAAGCAAAATGTGAAACACTGAATCTGCAGAAAAACATTTTCTAATATGTTTAGCAACAATTTAATACTATTTTTATTTTCAGAACCCGGTTATTTTGTATGCTTGACTAGACACAGGAGTACAGCGCTAATCTCAAGCAACCTGTGTGACATCAAACATGTTTATTGATACCCACCTGTTCTTGTATATCACTGCCTAGGGGAATGCATATGTTACAAGGAAGATAATAAAAGAGGACAAAAGAAATGAACATCCGAAGCAAAACTCTCAAATTCTATTTGACAGTAGTTGATTTGATTGAGGAAACAGGGATCTAACAAACCTGAAAGAGATTCTAGTTGGCATTAAATGGATTCACAGAGTCATTGCTCTGCTTTGTTATTTTTTGTGGTATATCACACCTAATGGAATTGCAGATGCAGCACCCAGGCATCAGAAGAACTAAACTGGAATATTTAAAAGAAGAATACATCCAGAAATTTATGCAGATGAGTGCATCAATTATGACAGACAAAGAGGTCACAAAGTACTGGATGTTCCCATTATAACATCAAATTACACATAATATGTATATGCACACACATCCTGCTGAAGAAAAAATCTATGGAATTTTGGCTTAAATATTACTATAAAACCCATAATGCTGCTCATGTATACTTGCACAAGACATTTTTCCACCAAGCAATCACCTACTCTTAAACTACATGATGGTAACAAATTTTCAGATATAACTCGCGTTTCTTGATTCTTCCTGATAAAACCCTGATTCTCTTTAAATACAATATAATTCAATAGATATTCGTCAAAAGAACAAATATAAAAACCTTACTTCCGAGAGAAGGGGAGTCTCAAGAGAAGCGCTGACATTGTGTTGACCAGATCAGGCATAAAGAACTGATATAGGACCAATTGTAGGATGGTAAACCATAAATTCTTTGTTATTTGTTCAGCTACATGTCGAGCCACTGCATGCGCAACCTAATCAGATAACCACAATGAAAAGATATCACTCCCACAGCCAACAAAAAATGACAATACTAAAGGGATAAGCAATATATACCTCATGTGCAATTATGGTTGCTAGCTCCACATCAGTTTTAAAATGCTCAAGCAATCCTGTGAACACCACAATCTTCCCACCAGGCAAACAAAATGCATTAATAACAGGTTCATTTATCACCATAAGTTCCCAAGCCAATCCTTCCAAATGAGACGTTGTCGGTTGCAACCCTCTCTGTTGACTTTCCTTCCTACTTTGCTGAACCCACTTATCATCAAGAATCTCATCTTCACGGGACCAATTCACCCCTGACTCCCCTTCCTTCTCACTCAATGCTGCCATCGTCTCATGTCCACTCTCATGTCCAAATGAGCTCCCGGGCGATTCATACACCAAATCACTCCATATTTGATCATGGCTCAACCCCTTTTTCAGTGCATCAACAATATTTTTAGCTATCAGTCTCACTCTCACGCTTTCTGGGTGTAATGGAGGCAATATCTTTCCCTTAAAATTTGCCATCAGTTGCTTAAATTGAGCCTCTCCCATCCTTTTCTCCGTTTCTTTGGACAAGAGAATGAAATGCTTTCGCTTTGTATAAGGAACAGTTTCTAAATTACCAGAATATACAGTAATCAAAACCCCTGAACCAACCAAGACCAATATCAACACATTTCTTGGATTTTGGAACCACCTCAATGGACCCCGCCGCTTAAAATGTTGAACATGGTAACGATCAACATAGTAAAATCTCTTAGCACCATTTAAAAACGGATTATACTGATAATTACTAGAAATTCCTAGTCTCTGCGAAATAGAAGAATATGAAGAGAACGCAGAAAACTTAGCTCTGTTAGCAGATGAAATCGAAGACCCAAGGCTCTGGGAGATTATTGAAGACGAATCTTGGATTGGAGATTTGAGAATAGGCCTTGAACTGAAACTATTGCGCAGGGTGTTGAGTGCAAACTTTGCCCTTCTGCAGCATGCCATGATGTTGGAAAATAAATATTCAACAGAGATTTCGAGTCATCCAAAGTTTCGAATTCTTTTTCTAGGAAAGGAAGAAAGGGAACGGCAGGCTGATGGAAGTACAAGAGGAAAACAAAATGAGAAAGAGAAAATGGAGATAAAAAATTGTGAAAAAAAAGTAAGGCAAAGACAGTAAGAGGTCTGGGTGGGTGTGGAGCTGGCTGGACTCCGGAAGAACGAAACATTTACCCCGGTGCAGTTTGTAATGTCAAGTAATTAAATTTTTAAAAAACGAAAATAAAAAAGTTAGGTAATTAATGTATCTAATCTATATTTTCACTCATTTACGCTAAATATTACATAATTTTTATTTGTGATTTCATTTTTTAAAATTAAATTTAAAATATAATTTTTTTTCAGTAACATTTATATTCAAGTAATGTTACATTATATTCAAGTAATGGACAGTAAGGTGGATCCGCTCACCGCTTACTTGCGATGATAAGGGGGTCAAGAGTCTTTCACCGGATATGTAATGGGCACTGTTACCTCAATTTACATGAATAAGATAATATATTGAGCTTTAGAATAAAATTTTGACAAGAAAATCGAGAATAACATGCCTTTGATAATACTAGAAAATTCCATGGCATTAATAATTGTTTAAATGCAATTATGGGATAAGCCATAATTTGGATATTCTATATTCTTTTTCCTCTGTTCTGGTTGCGAGCAAAGAATACATATTCAAATGTAATTTTTTTCTTACATTTTCAGTAACGAGTAAGAAACACGGGGAGGAAGGCAAAACCCCCAGAGCAGATACACTTCATCATATAAGGAAAAAAAATTAAAAAAAAAAACGAACCTACAGATTAGCACACAAAAACAAAATGAAAAAGCCATTGGGCTCATATAGAATAGTTTCTTCCGTCTTCAGGACCCTCACCATTTCTTGCTGTTGTAGCGGCCTCGCCCACCACTTGAACCATTAGAAAACCTTCTATCAGAAAATCCACCTCGGCCACCTTTGCCTCCAGAGAACCTACTACCACCTCCAGAGTACCTACCACCACCACCACCATTTCTATCACCAAAAGCACCCCGTCCACCACCAGATCTCCCCCTTGACTGGTCTCTCTCTTGTAGACGTGGCAATTCTTTCTTCAACACCTCTAAGCTAACATTAGCTGCATTTTCAGCACCTGGAACCAGAAGGAAAGAAAAGGTGTGTTAAACTTATACCTATGGTTACCAACCAGAAACAAAGAATCCCAACATTCAAGAAGACCAGTACAACAAATACTTTGGCACGGGAAGAAAACTAAAAATCTAAAACTCAATTCCTTTGAAAAAGGAACTTACAACATAAGCTTGACCAAGCCACACCAATCACATCACTTAAGAGAAACATATACACATTTTGTTTGGTGAATGGTGCTACAACTGGACCACACTTAGCATGTTTAACAACCCGAAGAATAAGCACGTTAGAGGAGCATCAAAGAAAAATATTAAGTACAAATGCCTCTATACAATTGAAAATTAAACTATTAACTAGAAAAAATTACCAGCAAGAAATGTTTCCACATCTTCTTCTGCAACATCAAACACTGCACCCATTCCGTCAGCAGTAAGGGTCATACCCTGCACTGACTGAACCTTCTCCTCAGGCAAGAATCTTTTTAAGACACCAAAAACAAATCTAATACATGAAATAAGAAAGGTGGTCAGAAAGAACTAATCAAATTCAGATGGCTCAGTAACAAAAATTGAAAATTAATGGTGCACATCCAAAAGTTCCTCAAACTAATTAGTTATTTTAACCAAGGTACAAATAAATTAATAATTTTTACAACAGAAGGCTAGATTAATTACTGATGCAGGGAAGGATGATAGAAAATAAAGGAATTTTATTATCATTTAGGAATTGATCCTTAGAATTTCGTATTTCCTAGATTCAACTCATTCCAAATTCATAGTTATTTTATTTTAGGTTATTCAATTAGGGTATTGTGTACATTATAAATATCTTTTATTGCAATTCTCAGTAGCTTCCTATTTATTGAGATTATTAAGACAGAGATATCTTGAGATTTGAAAATTGAGTATAGAATTCCTTGCTTTTAAGCCCTTGAATTGTTAGTGATATCTATCTCCTTTACATAAACCATATCAATTACAAAGAAAAAAAAAATGAAAGTTTCATGAACTTACGAAAGTGTGTAAATAGGTTTTCCAGCGTCGAGAAGTAATGTAACATGGTTCTCCATAGATGTTAGAAGGGATCTACTCTTTATCTCAGAGTAACCCTGAAAAATAAAGCAATAATTAGCCTTTTGAACCAAAAAATGGAAACGAGAGTTAAATTTTTATTTTGATATCCCAAACACCAGAAAGTGAGTATTCATGATTTGAAGAGAATTGAACATCCACTGGGGGGAGGAAGAGAACTCACAGCAGCCTTGGCTAGTGCTTTGGCAAGTAGATCTTCTGCTGATAGACCAGAAGTTTCCAATAACTCCAGAGCAACAGCCTTGAAGGCAGGAATTACACTGCAATCTCATTGAGGTTAAGATTTAATGACAACAAGATACAAAGAAGAGATCAAATAAAACTGTTTGCAAATATACCTGTCAGAAACTTGGGTGATTATTTTTGCTGCTTCTACACCAGCAGATTTAGCAATATCAACTGGCTGAGGCGCAGATATGTGCTCAAATTTCACACCAGATTCTCTTTCTATCTTAGATATGTTTGATCTTTTAGGATCATAAAGCATGACGGCGACTCCAGTATTGCCTAAAATATTAATAACTCTTTCAGTATCTTATCAAACTCTCACCAACCAAAACAAAAAGGAAGAACTAAATTTTCATTTACCTGCTCTTCCTGTACGTCCAGACCGATGAATGTAGGCTTCTACATCACGTGGAGGCTCACACTGAAATAGAATTATTGATAGATAAATATAACAGAACCAAGAGCAAACAACAAAATTTTGTAAAACAAGTGTATCCAAACAGACCTGGATAATTAACTGCACATCATTGATATCTAATCCTCGTGCTGCCACATTTGTAGCCACTAACGTCAAGAACTTGCCTGACCGAAACCCATTAAGTGTGACCTACAAGCACATAACTAAATGAGTACCAGTAAAACAACAGAGTTTGTTTGGCTTTAGGGAAATAATGATAAATGATGTACTCTACATAACACTTTACCTCACGTTGCGCCTGCTGTATGTCCCCATGCAAAGCCCGAGATCCAGGCAGCAAGCCAGAGAGCTCAGAAGCAGAATCCTTTGTCTCAGTGAAAATAATAGTCCGTCCACCACTGAATCATATCCATCCCACAAGAAAGAATGAAGAAAATAACTCAGCCAAATTATTGAAAGGAAATCTAAATTGTAGCAACAACAGTTATTTTAAAACTAAAATACCAAACCTGCTATAACAACGAATAATATCTGGGATCAGCTGGGACCTTGCCGACTTAGAACAGGGTAAGACAATATGCCTAACGTTGGTACTGGCCTTCATCTTCTCATTACCAACAAGATCAACAGTTTTCTTACTTGTTTTAAGAAACCTTGCAGCAATCTGGCGATGAAAAATTTTTTCAATCAGATAGGTAAACAAAGAAAAGCAATATCCAATTTTACATTTTCAATTTGAGTTCTTGTAGATGTAGAAGATCTTGGAGCTAATAGAAATACTTCAATGCAAGAAAATAGTTAAGAAACATACACCCTTCACCCAGACTGGCAATGTAGCACTAAAGAGAAGCGTCTGAACTTTACCTGCATCCTCTACCTTACCTGAAAATTAAAATATCATAAGCAAATTAAAAAGAAGAGTTATGCACATAGGGGTCAATGGTATCAAATAATTGGTATAAAGGCACAGGTGTTCCTGCACACAACATTGTAAGGTATTTTACTTCTCTAACATTCATATGAAAAAAATATACTATCCAACCACCACCCAAAAAAATATAGCATACACAAAAATACATACCTAATATCAGTTCAACATCATCAACAAATCCCATTCTCAACATTTCATCTGCCTCATCAAGAACTCTAAATTGCAATGAGCCTAAGTCAATATTCCTCCTCTCTATGTGGTCCTGCAACATTTGCAAGAGGACACCAAATATCAGATAATAGAAGTATTAAAAAAATGTATAGAATTTAATGAAATCTCTAAAACTAGCTAAACAGCTTGAATTAATAATAAGAAAAAGTTACCTTTACACGTCCAGGCGTCCCAACAACTATATCAACCCCTCTCTTCAATTTCATCTCTTGGGTGTGGTAAGGAGCTCCTCCGTATAAACAGCATGATGTCAACCCCAACACCTCACCATAAACTTCAAAGTCATCAAATACCTAGAAACAAAAGGTTAATTATCATAAACTTCACATACAAAAAGAAGGGCACTATCAAAATGTCTCAAGTCTAGAGAATAAGGTCCATAGTGCTACACCTGTTTAGCCAATTCCCTGGTTGGTAAAAGTACCAGTACACTAGGTGCCCTGCCATATCCAGTCTTCCTTGATGCTTTTGCGGGGCCATTTGTTAAAGACTCCAATATAGGCAACACAAAGGCCAGTGTCTTACCCTGCACAATTGCAAACAAGGCTAAGGAGATATTTAAGAAGAGAACTTCCAGAAACAGTCACACAATAATGGTTTGAATTAAGTTAACCAATTTCTGTCCGTCAACTAAGCTACACAATCATAATGCATTAATCATAGTTCAAACTTCAAGATTAAGCAAACAGAGAATACCACCATACATTCCAGGCAATGCGAAGCATTCTCAAAATTATGGAGTTGATAATCACTTAAATAGCAGCACAATTTATCACATAAAAATCTTCAACATTCACAATAAAATCCTTGTTCCTTATTAAACTAAATACATATCCAACGGTAAAATTCTATCTAACGTTAGCAGCCAATAATTGAAGTGCACGCATATTTAAAGATAAAAAAGAACAAAAAAAAAAAGACTATACCTGACCCGTTCTGGCACGCCCAACCAAGTCAGTGCCATCAAGAATAATATCAAAAGTCATGGCCTGAATCGGAAACAACGACTCAATCCCCTTCGACTTCAGCTTCTCTCTAACTGCTTCCGAAATCCGAAACCTCGAAATAGCATTTGGATCCTCACTTTTCCCTTCATCTTCCTCTTCCTCTTCCTCCACCTTCGATTTCTTTCTCTTCTTATTCTCCTTCCCATTCACCGGCTCAACAAGCTCCGAGCTCGTCTCGCTCCTCTCCTCCTCTTCCAACTGGAGCTCCAAAGCCTTTCGCTTCTTCCTACTCTTCTTCAACTCCGAATCATTGTCCTCTTCTTTTAGCCTCGGCTCCTTCAGCTTCTTCATCTTCTTCTCGGTTTCTGGAGTTTCGAGAGCAATCTTCTTCTTCATCTTTTTCTCTTCTTTCTTTTCTTTGAGATCAGATAAAGCTAAAGAAGGCATTAGATTAGATATTTTACAAACTAACAACTCAAAAGCTTTAAATAGAAATTTAGAAGTGTGAGGGGAAGTAACAGAGAAAGAGTTTCTTCTCCTGCTGCTAAAAGTATGTGGCAGTGAACGCAGGAGCAGGAGGGAAAGAGGGAGGCCAAAGAAGCTAGGGTTTGCAGTTTTATAGTTTTAGCGGTGGACTCGATTTCGGCCGTTCGATTTTGAAACCCTATTTAGGATATAGATGTTGCCGTTAGATTGGACCGCCTTTGACTAATGGAATAAGCCGTTCAAACGCTTATAAAAAAAATGTCTGGCGTACAGCTTCGAAGCACAAGGCACCATTAACCGAAGCAGTGAGGGCCGCAGAGCTAGCCTAACGGATTCTCCATCGGCTATTTGCAGCCCATTAAAGCCTAAAAAAGCCCAACCCATTTCTAATCAGGTTTGGGCTGCAGTATTTTCTTGAGTTCAGTCCAAAACGATTCCGTTTTTTTTATTATTATTTTATAAGTAATGTATTTTTATTCAAATTAATTAAACATAACCAATAATATTAATATAATATATATTAATGTGAATATTTTAAATTTTTGAGCCCATAAATAAGTATGCCTATCTCCCGAAGGCCCATACATAAATTGAGGCTAGGACTACGAACATCTCTACTTTGAAAACACTCGTTCCGGTGATGGATTTGCAAATTCTTTTACAACTAATGTGACTGTTAAATGCTAAATCATCTCTAACAAATAGGTGATCACAATGCAATGGTCTTGAATAATCGCTTTCATTTGATCAATACATGCATATCAATTATATTAGAAGAAACAATTGACCGTAGCTAATGGTTAAAAAAGAAGTGTAATATCTCCATTGCAACCCTTTGCTCATGGTCAGTGTTTGAAGAGAATAGTTTGGATAACCGCATGTTAAGTTAATTGTTAATAAAACTTTATGCACCAAGGAAAAAGAAAATGTAAATTAAGCTCCTTTTAACTCCATTACGTGCTTACGCAGAGCAACCAACCTTGTTAGGAAAGCATCAGCAGATGTTTTACCCCTCGAGCTTTCCCTAGCTCCAATGAATAAATATAAATTGTCAAGTCCTCATCGTTCTTTGATCAACTTACTTGGCATCATTCCTGGCGCAAGCGGTAGCTGCAACAATCCAAAATATGCATGGAGAGTGCACTCTGAAGCTCTTGGATTCAAGATTCATTTACTGTCTCCAAATACCACAGTTCTGGGCCATGGAGTGGCTAATATTGTGCCTCCTCATACACACTAATTGGAATACTCTGTCACATGCTCTTTCTTAACATGTCAGAGAACCATACAGTTTTGAAAAGATTAATATCCAACCAGCACCACCCTTTCCGACCAGAAGGGGATCACTGTCCTCCCAAAATTGCAGTGAAATAAAGATGCAGTCCGACTACCAACATGCAACAGTCCAGTGTTCTTAATCAGCATGAATTGCAGTGCAAGAGTTAGTATTTACACCGAACAGCATAATGCAGCACAACTACCAACATGCAACAGTCTAGCGTTCTTAACCAGCATGAATTGCAGTGCAAGAGTTTGTTATTAACACCGAACAGCATCCTTGAGAGAGAAACAATGTCTATACTTCAAATCACATCCTACAATCTTTCGTAACATGGGTATTACAGACTTTGCAGACACATACTCATAAGAGTGCACAGAAAGCAAACAAAAGAATCACAAATGAGAACGATCTCTGACCAATCTGTCGATGCGAAGAAGAAGCACTGTTGCAATAATTAAATCCATACCAAATGTCACCAGGAATGAAGGTGTCATAGTAAAAAGTAACAGCCCTCGAATTATAACCATAAATCTTCACACTCTCAGGCTTCCAACCATCGGGTCCAGATCGATAGAGATAAACATAGCAGATCTGATATGCACATGGTCCGTATATCTCAAATGTATCTGAAGAACATTGTTCAAATGTCCTAGTGGATGGATCATCCAACCTCGGTGCATATATCTGATTATCAGGGAAAACAATCACAAATACCTACAATCAATACCTTCTTCAACATATCAGTTTCATATATGTCGTAAAAATTTAATACATTGTACAGCATCTCAAGTACCAAATTGTGAAGATGGTTTTACACATTAATTTGTATGGTAATAACAAATAAACCTCCAGGGTGAATGCCTTTTCATATTTTTGAGGTGCAAAAACATGTTTGAATTTGATCTAAGACATAACATATGTTCTGTTCTTAAACAAGACCATAATCTATTATATTATGAATACAATTATTATCCTTGCCTAATTCATCCCTCTGCAACATTTATTCACCCGCAGACTGATTAACCTTGAGCCATGGATTCTTAATCAAAAAATTTATGATATTTGGTACACAACGTTTTCCCCTTTTTTTATCCAAAAATGCAAATTCCCATTGGCCAAAAGCAAGCTATGAATATTGCTGTAAGCCTACAACATCAACCTAAGCAGATGAAAAACAAAACAAATTGCACGGAAATTTGTGATCTTTGATCCACTTAAAGTTATTCCTTGGAATTTTTACCGATGGTTTAATTCGTTTCATTGTTGCAGATATTAATTAAACTGTAATTTTTCTCCTGAAGTAACTATCACCCCAGAATTACTTTCTTCAGCCAATTTGTCTATGTCTAACTTGAAATTTAATAAAAAAAAAAAAGGGAAAAAGAGACATCTTAATTCACAGTAACATGAAAAGCACTAGCAAGTAAATTCAATTTCTATAGCAACAGATTATCTGAAAAGCTAAAACGGGAAAAACGATGCCACTGAAAAATTAACGTGAAGTGGGACCAAAGAAGACGAACCTGATTACCATAAGCATCCCCAAAAGCGATACTGATCTGATCTCGAGTGTAACTAGTTGAGGAACAGCTCGTTGAAATAACAACCGAGTAAGAACAGCTCCCTAAATTCTTTTCTCATTTTTTTTTTGGTTGTCATAAGAAATGTGGGGAAAAAGACACTTCATTTATAAGAACAAAATTAATCAAATAAATACCAGAATTTTATTGACAGGGGTTGTTGTTGGTAACGATACCTGTATATAACTGACGTTGAAGGACTCAAACGCTTGAGGCTTCTGACTGATCGATTCGGCTTCACAGACGATGAATATGCAGCCAAAATAGAGTAAAACAAAGGCTGTTTTACTCATGTTCGCTTTAAAAAAAAAAAAACACCCTTCCTTTGCTGGAGAAAAAGAAGTAGAAAGATGGATAATGGATGAAAATGGAGAGGGGAAACGGAAAAGTAACAAGAGAGCACATTTATGAATGTAAAACAAATGGAAGGATTGTCGTAGAAAAGGGCAAACCTGTCTTTCAGCTTTGCATGTTAGTGTATTTTTAAGTCCTTTCCAGAACTCCAAATATGTGGATTAGCTTCAGTTTGTGGTGCCGGCCGCATCTACTAATGTTTTTTCTCTTACAACCTTTTTTTAATATTTAAAAAATTTATAAATTATTTAAAAAATTTAAATTAAATATTATTTATTATTTTATATTATATAATATTAACAAACATTTCAAAATATAGTATAATATGATTAAATAATATTTTTATTATTCACATCAATCACGTATATAAAAATTAACAAATAACATTTAATTAATCATAATTAATTAATTATTAATTATAAAAATTTATTTAATAAAAATAAAAATATATAAATTTAATTAAATATAATAAAAATAAAATTTTATTTAATTTTTTTTGAATAATTCATAAATTATTTAAAACATTATTTTTGTGTGAAATAACATATTCTGTTTTTAGATTTTATTTTCATGTTTTCAGTAAAAAATAACAAATATTTTTAAAATTTTTAAAATTTTATTATTGTGAACAACCAACAATTTAGATGAAATCATTGTATATGACTTAATGTTTTTTAATTCCCTAATTTTTTATTCAATAAAAATTAAAACTTTCAAGTTTTGCTTTTATTATAAGTAATTATCCAAAACAACAATGCGGCAGTATTATTTCAAGTGAAAGAGATAATAAAAAGGGCAGATGCAGTTTCCTTGATGAAGTTTAAAAAATAAAAATAAAAAAGGGCCGGCCTGATCAAAGGTGAACTTTCAAAAGACAACTATTTTGTCTTTTCGTACAGGTGCATTGATGTGAAGTCAGCATTTGAGTTTGACATCATTTACGCACGTTGTTCTCATCTCAAGATGGGCTGTTTTGTCTCAAGATTAGGCCCTGATGCCACCCAGGTGAGATAAATGAAGGCAAGCCTGGACAAATCGTGGCAGCTGGGTTGCACCTTCTATTCGCGAGTGAGGTTGGGCTATAACGAATCTTTACAAATTGTGGCCAACAAGGATGATAAGTACAGCACGTTGACCCAAAGAAAGCATTCAAGAGCAGAAGAACGTAGCCCAAACTCCACTCCCTTATCCCCAACTTCAGAAAAACAGAACGGAAAGTACTCTGTTTTGTCGTTCGCAAATATATATTTCCAGATCCCAGCCAAAACAGATGCACAGCCTGTTAAAGCTAGAAGAGAACAGGTTCTCTTGACTCCTAGTAACAAAGTTTTCCTACTCGCTTTTGAATATATGTTGATCCAGCAATATAACAGTACAAGAAAACGAATCAAAAAATTGAAATTAACATCATCTTTTAATTCCGCTTCCCCTTGATCTTCTCAACACCCTTTCAAGAGCAACGTCAAATGCATCTTCTGTACTCTCCAAGCCCATTTCAGGTTTTGCATAAACAAGCTTTGGTATATACTCAATCACCTTTTCCCTCATTCTCCTCACTGCTTCTCTGCTATACTTCTCAAGCACACCCTTAATCGAAGTACCCATTTTCACCTTTTCATGGTCTATATAAACAGAGTAACTCTCGGTTTCACTAGGTAAGAACCACTCGTATTGATCATAAGCGGTTCGTTTCCGGAAAAATACCGGGATCGAACCGGCCACCATGCAGTCAAAAACAGACCTCCTCGTATAGCTATCACCTCTTGGTTGCAAGCAAAAATCAGAGCCCAAAAAGGCCTTAAGAACCGCTGTGTTACCCTTACCACTGGCGCAACGAGACCCAGCGCAGTCTATAACTTGGCACGAGCCCGACTCGTTCTGACAGTGACTAAGTAAGATTCAGCGGAAATCGTTCTTGATTTACCGCAGTGTCCCGCCGGCAAAACAGAAGAGTTTTTCGCGGTTCTGTCTACGAACATAGTTTTGCCACTGTAACATATCAGAGTCTGATCTTGGGTGGAATCCAGTAGGGTAAGGAACGCCTATGTCACAGTAGTCCCAGGGGTTTTTCTTGATCAAGAGACGAGTAATATTCTGCATGGTTGGCATGTTGAAGAAGCTGGAACCCCAATCATTATAAGAAGGCCGTCGAAAATCCCACGTGATGCGTCCCAACGTGATGAAATGATCTCGCCCATTCCATCTTTTCCAGTAGGGTTGATCCTGGACAAAGCTCAATAGCCTCTCACAATCATCATCGCGGGCTTTGGCGCTGTGATTGAACCAAAGATACTTACCCACCGCAAGTCCACCATAAAAGGGTATGTAAAAGGCTGTAGCAGATTCCGGTTCCAATGTTCTACACTTGTGCTTGAGAACCCTGTTATGAAAAATAACTTCCAAAATAAACTGGTCAGTCCAATGCCACGCGGGGACCAGACCCTTTGGTAAGATGGAGCCCAGCTCAGTGGCTCTCCGGCCAAGTCCCTTGTTCTTTACCGCATCGCAAAGGGACGTCCAAGGGTTTAAATTATCACAGTCTAGTAACAAGTTCTTGTTAAATATAGGTGGAAGATCATAGACATAAACTTTACCGTCTTGACATGGATCGTCAATGGAGGAGGAGTTGGAGGAGATGTTGATGGAGGGCGAAGGAGAAGGGGAGGGATGAAGAGAAAAGGATGAAAAATACTTGCAAGAGGAAGAATAATGTGATAATGGTTAGGACGAACCACTTGGCTGTTAATTGAGAGGTAAAGGGTTTGGGGTTCTGTCTGCTCAGGAGTTCGTGGTCTTTTTTGGTGCATCATGCATGGCCGGTCGTTGTCGGAATACATCAGTGGATTGAAACTTAAAACCTAGTTCTTCTGCAACAGGTATATATTTTTCAATTGCTCTTTGCAGAGATTTGCTTGATTTGAGTGTTTTGAGAGAAAAAGAAAGAAAGAACCATTTAATGAAGGAAGTGTATCCAAACCATTCAATTATTAGCATCCTATCCCATAACATGCTACTATGAAGTGTCTATTCATCAGTAATTGGACAAAGAAACCAAATCGAAATTTTGAATAATTGAGAAAATTGTTGTTCACAAAAAATAAAAGAAAATTGGCATACTCAAAACGATTACTAAAGAAAAAAAAATGTTTCATAAGAATTGTCAGCGTCTGTCCGTACTTTTTCTGTTCAGGAATGGTCATGGAGGAGAGTATCGAGCCAGGAGATGGAGGTCATAAGTTCCTCAGGTTCTTCTTTAAAATTGATTTATTAAAAATTAAAATTTCAAATTAAAACCAATAATTTAATATAATTTAATGCAAAAATTAATAATATGTAAGAAATTAATTAAAAATAACTTCTATGCACAAAATTTGATCAATATATATTACACAGTGAATTTTATCTGAATTTTCAATAAAAGTCTTTATTTGATTAAAACATCAAAACATATTCAAATTATTTAAAATTTTTTATGCTTTATCTCTGTATCAAGATCTTTCAAAATATCGATTTGTTTTTAAAATTTTAGTATTTTTCTTATTGTTTGTAATAGGAAACCTAGCGAAATTTAATCTCAAAGCCTTTTCTAAATCTAGCTAAATTTATATGGAACACATTGAATATAATTTATCATCTTACCAACATATGTAGAAAGAAATCAACCAAAACAACAATAAATAGTAATATTTAAATACTATCTACAATTGCCTTCAAACTTAAAAGATTACCATCTAATTTTTCCACTTATGCCTACATGATTTCATTTATCAAAATTAATTAGACACAATTAAATGATTTGCTATCCACAATGTTGTCAAAATGTTTGCTTTTACTTTTAAAAACTTTACTTTTAAATGAAGAACCCTTATTTGATAGATTTGTAAACCATAAAGTATACGAACAGAATTAACATTTGATTTAATAATAAGTAAATATATCATTATTTCATAAAATCATATACAAATCCTTGTTTTCTGTTAAATATAAAAATTAACGTAAAAAGAAAACCCGAAAGCTTACTAAGAAAATGAGAAAAATTTTAATGAATTGATGTGGTTGAGAGATTTATTAGCACTTATATTTTAAATACTACTCCGTATGAGACAAATTTGTCGAACTAGTACGCACATAATTTTTCCTGGTTACGGATTTGGGTTCAAATTCAGATTGCTTGTACTGGACCCAATCCCTTCCATCTCATCGAGATTGGGGCCCATGTTATTAGCTTACGTGTCGAATTTTGTGTTCACAGCCAGCCGATAATCGATCTCTAGTATGGTTGGAAAGGCATTCTTTTGCCCCTAATCCTCTAAATGTGGAGCAGGTAACAGCTCCTAAACCAATCTAGCCTAGAATTATTAATTCATAGACAATTCCACATGTTAATGCAACAAATGCAGCGCAGTGTCAGTCACTAGTCGCCGTCTATTTGGGCAAAAACTTGTCATGGCATTATATCTAGCCAGCGACAAGCGAGTCGCATTCAACATAAATAAATTTCACCTAGACCCACCTGTTGCAAAACGAATTTAATTTAAGTGCCAAATCACATTCATTCAGATGCAGTCCAAGGGTTTCTACCTTCTAACCTTGATTGTCGCCGACGACTCGTGTCATGTAAAACTGATTTTTTTAAATATTTTTTATTCTGTTCCTAACAATAATATATTTTACTAGTAATCACTTTTAACTATTAAAATGTTGAAATTAGGTGATTAGGAGCTCCATTGTCAGTGTTCACCTGGGCTTTTCTAGAGTCAAATGATTTGTTTATGTAGCTGTTATAATCAGTAAAATTACATGTTGCTATCGTTTATCTACTCTTAACCTAGCTCTGATGAAAGTTGAAACTGACCTAAACAGAACTCCACAGTACTTCCCCATTGTCTTACCATCTGTTAGACAATAAATTATATTCACCTAGTTTTATCGTTGGTTGTTGCTTACGCTAGCAAAACGGAAATTGCTTGTTGATTCAACAAGAATGATTCCTATATCAGAGATAGTGTAATTTAACGTATTCACTTAATTAGAAAAGCTTGTGAAATTCAATTGTTTTCTCCTTCGTGGGGGCCTACAATATATGTATATGTAGATTTAAGAAGAGCAGAGCCGTAGTGGCTTGGGAGAAAGAAAGGTAACAAAAGACTGAGATTCCTTGTTGTTTTTATGCCTTTTTTTCCCCTGAGACTGAGAGGCCCACCATTAAACATGGTTCAGCTGCTTATATTCTTATGTAAAAAGCATCACCTACCATACACTTCCTTAAATCTCAACAAGAACCTGATCGCATATAATAATAATAATAATGTGCATATTATATAGTAAGCTATTTTGAAATGTTTCACTTTTGTTTTTTACCCAATTATGACAAATTCCAATCATAAGCCAATTTGGGAAAAACGGCACCCTCTTCCAACTTCAGTTAGTCGGGGTCTTCAGTGCTGCTGCTGCTGCCGCCTCCGCTGCCGCATACGAGTTGTGCCACCTGCACAACACTGCTCAATCCAACCAGTTTTTATACGACTACTGCATCTGAAAGAATGAAACCAAACCAATAACAAACAAACCAGAGAAATGGGAACTTGAAAAACTTCAGAAAATTATAAACAATGAAGATTGTGAAGAAGATATACCTTAACAAATCAAACTCACCATAAATTAAATATATATCATTTGTAATGGTGCAACGAAATGAAATTTTATTGATGAACCAAAATCACAATTACACGACTCTTTTGCAGCTTCAGGATTTATTCAGTTTTCCCAAACCTACTGGACCCTGTCCATGTCATATCGCCACAAGAAGGGATAAAAACAAAGTTCCTATTACACATGCTTCCCAAGAATCCCAGTTGTGCCTTGCTTGCTTATTATGCTTGTCCCACTCCACCCATCTGTATTAGCCCAGTCCTCCTTAAGCTTCCAGCCAGCCAAAGATTACAGGACCACCCCAAAGCTGTTGGTCATTTCTCATCATTACACGATCCTCATCCTTCTAGTAAAAAAGGCCAGCAGCAAGCACTACCCAGCTTCAACTGTAAAACCTCCCCTACCGCTGCACCCGTAATGATACTGAAACTCAGACATATCTCTCTCCAACCAAAAGGCTGTATCCGCAATAACTCATAAACAATACATCCCATAAAAAGAATAAGAGAAATACCACTATGTTGTTGTTATTATTATTATATATGCGTACAAAAATACAAATTACAACAATGTGGGAAAGAATAGACATGCCTCTATCACATTCTATAAAAATTAAAAAAATAAAAAGAAATTCTATTCTGAAAACCTTTATTCTGGGTATAATCCTATTTTGTCCATTCTTTTTTACCCTAACCTTGTAAATCATTTCCACTTGTATCCTGGCTGCTCTTGCTCCTTAATTCTATTTAATACTCCATCAATGGCAACATCAAACGCATCCTTTATACTCTCCAAACCATTTTGAGGTTCTGCATATACTAACTTAGGAATATATTCGATCACTTTCTCCCTCATTATTTTCACCTCTTCTCTAGTGTAACTTTCAAGCACGCTTTTAAGAGATGTCCCGTTTTTTACCTCGTTACGGCGGATAAAAACGGAATAACTCTTTGGATCACTCGGTAAAAACCACTGGTACTGAAGGTAAGCCGTTCGATGCCAGAAAAAAACCGGGATTGAACCGGCCACCATGCAGTCAAAAATTGACCTGCGGGTGAAACTGTCGCCTCTCGGCTGCAAGCAAAAATCGGAATCCAAAAAAGTTTCGAGGATCGCGGAACTGCCGTTGGAGCAGCGGGTACCCGCACAGTTGACGGCCCGGCATAACCCCGACGCGTTCTTGCAATGGCTCAACAGCAAGCTTCTGAAGTCGTTCTTGACGGCGCCACGTGGCGCTCCGGCGAAGCAGAAGAGGGTTTTGCGGTTACGGTAACGGACGAAGTCTTGCCATTGCAAGACGTCGGAGTCCGTTCTGGGATGGAATCCAGTCGGGTAAGGCACACCGACGTCGAAATAGTCCCAGGGGTTTCGTTCAATCAAAAGGCGCGTGATATGTCTCATACCTGGCATGTAAATACATCTGGAGCCCCATTCTTCGTTTTTGGACCGCCGGAAATCCCATGTGATGCGCCCCATTGTCATGAAATGATCCCAGCCGTCGGAACGGTTCCAGTACGGTTGATCTTGCACCCAACTCAATATCATCTCGCAGTATCGATCACGATCTTTAGAACTATAATTGAACCATAAGTATTTCCCCACGGCGAGGCCCGCGTAAAACGGAA